AATCACTAGGTCCAAAGAAAAAACAACTCGTGCTATACAAAGGGGGAGACCTAAACTCATAATTACTCAAAAATTCTAAAAATAAGATTTACAAAATTTGAAGTAAGCTTTATTCCAAACTTCAGAGCATACAACATCATATGCATAATTGATGTTCATAGTAAGGGTTTGGAATAAATAGGCATACTGTGCCCCCCAAATTTCTCAATCCCCTTCTAATTACAGACAGATTAATTACAAATCTTTTTATGTAACAATATGGAAAGGGTAAATAACAGGAATATAGTAGAGATGGGAAATTGTTGAAACCCATTGTATACCAAGCATGTAATACATCTCACTTTATTGGACCCTCACAACAATCTTAAAGATGTGTTTTATAGAATGCTAACAGGATATTGGTTCTAGGAGGAAAAATTATTTCAAATTCACATCTAAAATTTACAGCTAAGATTTGAACTCAGAAATTCTTGCCTCTAAAGATTAGCTATATACCATGCCAATATGCTGACTCCCAAAAAGATGTATTAAAAAGTGCTTTAAAGCCAGGCAGGGAGTGGTGGCACATGTCTTTAATCCTAGCACTCACGGAGGCAGAGGCAGGCAGATTTCTGTGAGTTCAAGGCCAGCATGATCTTCATAGCAAGTTCCAGGATGGTTACACAAAGAAACCCTATCTCAAAAAAAAAAAAGTTCTTTGAGCACTACATGTATTTATATTAAACAAAGGGTAATGTTAATAATAAAATCAAACTTTGGCACTAAAAAGAGGTCCTTCTTAATTTAGTCTATAATAAGGACTCAATTGTTCATCTTACAAATCTTTACAGTAGTAAGCAAATGTTCCTTGCTTAGTATTTTATGTTTTCAAACTTCTTTTAAAGATTCTTATTCAGCAGGCTTTGCATCTTTGGGGCATTTAACTGCTAATGCTCTACAAATCTGGGCAGCCAAGGAAAACGCAGATGGTCCCATGGAACACAACCCACAGCAACATATGGTATACATTTACTTCTAACAAAGTGTGCTTCTTAACCTCTGGGTGTCCCTCCACCATTCCTTTATAAGGCTACTCATTCCTAAGAAAGGTTCAGTTTGCAGAAATGGGGCAGCAAGCCCCACATGTGCTGTACGGCCATTCAGATGTACAGAATATGTCTAAATACATGTAAGCAAGCACATTTAGCACATGCTTCCTGGCAGTACTTTATGCATCAATGAGCTGTCTCTCCAGACATTAAGCCTCTTGAGGGCAAGTGCCACACCTGATATCTTATTTTATTATTTGCACAAGGTAGAATAATTCTCTGTCATATGTATAATGATGTGCACCTTATAAATTGATCACGTATGGAAGTCTCCTGCTTAAATGGTGACATGATGTCACATGTTTCAGACAGCATTCATGGAGTCTAAGCAACTAGCTAAGATTACAAACTAGTACATAAAAATCTTCCTCTGGCCATAAAAGAAGATTCTCCCCTGCATATCTGTACTACTCTGCTTCTAAGGTTTTCAACACAAAGTTCAATGCTTATTTGCCTCTTTATAAAAACAACTATTCTTAAGTTAATATACATATTGTAAGTCTCTGTTCTAAGGACTTTATAAATGTTAACCTGTTTAATCCTCTTGCTTACTCCACGATGCTGTTTGTATCCCCATTGACTCAGAAGGAAACTAAGGAACAGAAAGAGAAACTGACCAGTCACAGGGTCGGTCAATAGCAGGCTTGAATCCTGGAAGTGAGGTTCCTGGGTGTATATTAATCACAAACTATTCTGCTTGAGTAAGAGCAAAGGAAGACCCTTGCATGTGAGCAGTGTGTGCAAAAAGAAAAAGTGCTTACTACTCTCTGTGATTTATTTGATTATATTTTAAATCCTTCCCTCATGTCAATAGAGCTCCATGTAAGTACTATACTAAATTTTCATGTACTGAAGGCATATGCTGAGGTTACCTTGACTGACATATAAAATACCCCAAATGAAATGCTCAAAGACTCGACTTTTTTTTTCATTTTGTTCCATGAATTAGGGACCTGAACAGATTGCCTAGACATCAGAAATGCTATATGCTCATATGTGTAAGTCTTAAGGATTTGTGTATTTCTTACATAAGAATAGCCCATCTGATATATTTGAGTGTTCACTATATACCTGTACACTTGAGCTTAAAAATTATCTAATCCTTTTTTCCTTTCATTTCTGGCTACTTTTTCTTCAGACACAGGGCAAGGACTTGCTTTCAATATAATGTTTAACACATTTTATGTTTGTATGTTTTTATTTCAATTGTTTTAAAAACATGCTAACAAACATCCAAACATATTATAAAGACTTAGAATTCAAAGTGTGTATACATATATCAACAGGAGTTATGAATTATGTATATTCCAAGCTTATATAAATTAGATTTTGAAAAACAAGCATCACAGTAGTCAGGCAGGTCATAATAAGACATTCCATGTGAAATGTAAAAACTACCTTGAATAAATTATCCATAAGTTAACGCTCTCATTAGAATGACATATTTATTATTTCTGGGTTTCAGATGTTGCTTTAATGCAGTTTGACTAACTGTTCTAATGGCATATTAAGAAACCATTTTAGGCCTTTCTCCCCACAGTAGAATTTGCAGCTTTATTTATGTTTGAACTAAAATAATAAAATGTTTAAGACAATCATCAACTTCCCCATATAGAAGACATCATTTTCTTCGGCCCAGAAACATTTAATTAAACCAGGATATGACTTCAGTAATTAGTCTTGCACAGAATGACTCTAAAATTAATAGCCAATTGTAAGACTTTAAAAATTGGGAGAGTGGCAATCAAAAGTGCCTTAAATGCTTTGTTTATGTGATGAAAAGGAGTGATCCTTTAATTCCCTGCCACACGTTAGACTGATTTCACAGACTTTATGTACTGGTGTTTAACATAGTCAAGTGCTTGAGGTTATGTAAAATAAACAATCTTGAGATCTTATTGCAAATGTTTGCAATTTATGATGTAAACTTATTTGTGAAGAAAAAAAAAAAACAGGATCCCATGTTACTGAAGCCAAAAAGTCATTTTTTTTTTTTCAGGAATCAAAATAGTTCCGAAATTTGAGCATTACATTATACTAAAGTATTTCCATCTGAGGATCTAAAAAGTTACAATTCGGGGGAGGGGGTCAAAATAGATGTGTATCAGTTCAACTCTGAGCATTAAAAAATAAGCAAAAACAAAAAACCAAAAAAACAAACCTGGGACTCCTGGACCACAGAGTCCTGAACAGTAATCACGTCTTAAGTAAGCCCCTTTGACTCAGTACCCATCCCCCATCACCGCCCCAGCATGGATTTTCTAACTATGGAAAAGTTCGCATTCCACGAAAGATTAAGGTTAGGGGAGTCCTTGAATGATAACTGGTTGCATTTATTGCGTTTTGGCCAAAATAACATTAATAACGGCCCATGTTTAAAGTGAAGACGTCACATCCGCAAGCCCTTCTTCTGGGGATGGTTCCGAAAATGCAAGGTTTGGACTCACCCAGTTGTCTGCCCAACAGTTTGGGCTGCAAAGATATGGAAAGCTGTCTCCAGAGAGCCTTGTAGGAGGCCAGATCAAAGGTTCAGACCCCAGACAGCTAGGATGATTGAGCTGTACCCTCCTGAGCCTCAAGGGAGAGAAAGTGGTGGCTGGTATCTCTGACCTAAGCAGGAATCTTTGGACTTTCTCACCAGATCCAGCTTCCTTCTCTCTCTGGACTTCAGCCCTCAGGATAGTCGGCAATATCGGCATGGATGGTACCCAGCGCTCAGCTGGCAGGAGGTGCCACCGCCCTGATCTGAAACTTAGCCCAGGATGCCCTGAAAAGTCACACTGGGCACAGGGTCCCAGGCCGCTCCCATGACCCATGTTCGCCTTGTGTGACCTCCATATTCCCTTGGGGATCATGAGAGTGGTGGATCCCGCCTTTGACCTGAGGTTAGGATTGCCATTTGGAGCCCCAGGGTTCAAAACCAGGCCAGGCTGGAGCCCCTGGACCTCTCGGAGGTCGCCGAGAGAGGACACCCTCAACCTTCACCAAGTAGGAGAGTCGCAGAGCTGAGCAGGAAGGACAAGGCCTGCTCCTGCTCCACAACCTCTGGTAGCTGAGGGACAGACCAACCTTTCTCCCCACGTCTAGTCTATGTATCAGCTTCAAAGGCGAGCCAAGTCCCCAAGGAAAGCTGAGTGTCATGCGGGCTCCGTAGGGGGTAACTACTAACTGCCAAATCGTTACACTGGGGGATGCTAGGACATCTGCGACCTCCGCAGAGGACTCCTCTCCAAGGGACAGGGCGGGTGCTGCAAGAAAGGGCATTCTGGACTTGGGACTGGGTCTCCAGGTCTTTTTTTCATCCTGCGTGCACACATCCAGAAACACACACACACACACACACACACACACACACACACACACACAGGGCAGGAGCACATCTTCAAGCTCACGGAGAGTTTGGAAGAGGGCGACTGATACCAAACAGGACTGCAGGACGGTTGCAGGTTGGTGGGTTTTGCTTTGTTCCCCGAGCTTCTCTGACTCGCTCCTGCTCCCAGTCTACTTCCAAACCAGCAGCTCCAGGAAGTTATGCGACCTGGGATCGATTGTTGATAATACCATGTATAACAAACCCAGGGGCAGTTGCTTGACCCCTCATTTCTTTCTCTCAAAATGAGCCAAACAAACTTTAAGGGTGAAAGTATAGCAAAGTGATGGAGAAACGTCTTGAGCAGGGGATCCTATTCTTTGTTGTTTTTCTAATGTTCTTTTTCTGTTGATTTAGCATTAGCTGGTATCCATAGTAGGTATTTGATGTGAAGTGAAAGGAATTGCACTCAGTGCAAGGGATGCACAGGGCCACCCTTCTCAGGGTTCCCTGATTACCTCACTTAAGAGCAGAGGGAAGTGCTTTTTAACCTCTATGGGGGGAGGCGTATGAATATGAGCATATCATCCAAAAGAAAGAAGGAAGAGTATCCCGGATATTTTAATCGTAACAAGAACAAAGATGACGCGAACCCCATCAAATGAAACAATACTATTTTCATTCAATTGATCGCAAAGTGTCTTCGGTTAATAACTTGGCACTTATTTAAATGGTTTAACAGAAGTGGAGCCGAAACATTTTGTACTGACAACACGTCATAACAGCATCTTTTGTTTAAAATAACTTAATACACTAGAAAAAATATGGCAAATATAAATAATTTTGTTTTCATGGAGAACAAATAGTTACAAAGCTCAAACGCATACCGAAGTTCAGTAAGAAGAGCTTTTCCTCTTTCATGTAAATTAAAAAGGGCGGGGAAAGCCCTAAGTAGGCTTGCTAGAGAATTTGGACTACAGGTTGCTTAGCCCAAGCTGTCCCTGTTTAAATAGCTACATGAATTGAAACAAATAAAAAGATTGCTTGAATGAATACACCTTTGTGAGATAAAATGCAAATGTTGAAAGTCAACCATTAGTTCACACATTATAGCCAAAATAAACTTTGCTTGTGTTTATCAACATATTATACACAAACCTAGTGTCTGTACCTAGCCGGTGTTTAAAGGTGAATTTGACAGGATAGAGAGGGGGAAATAAAGCATTATCCTCAAACAGGACTTCAAGAAAACAGCAAGGGCAATTCACGAAAAGGAAGGGAACAGATGAAGCGTCTATCACGATGCAGGGCTGTATACTTTCATGGCTTCGTTTGCTCTTTTTCCTTTCCCCATATTTTTCTAACCGCCTCTATCTTCTTGGAAGACTCAAGAGTGTATTTTACTCCCTTCCGACTTTTTTCCTTTGCCCCTTGGGATCAAAGGCCGAACAAATTATCTATGGATTCACATCAAGACGCTTTTCATATTGAGAATGAAAGTGTAGTGGGTGCTCATGGGTGTGGGGAGGGAGGGGACACCATCAATGGAATACAAGTAACATGCAAACCGGAATTTACTGTCAGCAGTCTGGACAGTTCTGCCGTAATAATTTTTCAGAGGAATCATTGTCTGTGGCATCCCTTTTTTTTTTTTTTTTTTGTATTAACGTCCCTTTTTTTTCCTCCTCGTTTTCACACTGTCTTCCCTCTTCTTGCTCTTCCATACATGGTGTTTTTAAACTCAAAGCATCTGATTCAACGTAAAAGGAGGCCCGCCTCTCTTATCAAAGTCTCGTATTAAAGTGAACTTCGCAGAAAAAGGTCAGCTTCAAAACCTGTGAACTTCCCAGCTGCGCATTTTTTCCATCTTATTTTTTTTTAAATAAGTATACCTCTTCCTTCTGTTTTGCTTTCTTGGCCCATTAAAAAAAAAAAAAAACATACATTTTAGTTGATAACCCCCTCCCCCCCTTTCTCTCAAGATTCATCCAGGTTATTTTTCCGTATTTTTATGTACAAAATAATTTTTAGACTTGTTTTTGCTTCGTCGTTCTCTTTCTAATTCCAGCCAAATAGTAATATGAAACAAGCTCCCTTTCTCCTTTTCTCGTTAGTTTGTTCTCGTTTTTTTGTTTTTGCTCATTTGTTGTTCGCAAGATTTCATTTCTACGTAGAAGTCCACCGCCGCAGTCTTGTCACTATCCACTTCTCACTGTTCCCACACTCCTTTGTCCAGTCTCTATCCAGACTCATCCAAACCCGCTCCTACAAAGCCGAATTTTAGTCCCAACGGCGGATGCGCTGGAGCCCCTGGGCTGGTGGCCCTATTGGAATCCCGGGTCCAGCGCAGAGTCCCGCCCTGGGAATCCAGGGTGCAGAAAGAAACGGGAGGCAGTCAGCGGGGAAGGGGCGGGCCTAGGC